AAGGAATTTCTCTCCCTTTTAATGTTGTGATGCCCATTTGCAAGAGATGGGCGAAATTTCACCTTTGGCACCCTTTGTATAGGGTCTTGCCCTGGTATTTCTGTAATAATAATAATAATAATAATAATAATAATAGAAGAAGAAGAAGAAGAAGAAGAAGAAGAAGAAGAAGAAGAAGAAGAAGAAGAAGAAGAAGAAGAAGAAGAAGAAGAAGAAGAAGAAGAAGAAGAAGAAGAAGAAGAAGAAGAAGAAGAAGAAGAAGAAGAAGAAGAAGAAGAAGAAGAAGAAGAAGAAGAAGAAGAAGAAGAAGAAGAAGAAGAAGGTACATCAGATGGTTGAAGAAGAAAAAATGGCTTTGGAAGAATATCTGAAGAACAATGATGAAGATGCACTGAAATTAGTATATCAGGAAGGCTTACTAACTACTGGAGTGACCAAACAGGCCTACAAGAAAGACCAAACGAAGAACAGAATAGAGGCATGGGAAGACAAAGCACTACATGGCCAGTACATTAAAAAATATAGCTGGGAAAGCTGATAATAACAAGACCTGGCAATGGTTAAGAGCAGGAAAATTGAAGAAAGAGACCGAGGGACTAATCCTGGCTGCACAAGACCAAGCCTTAAGGACAAATGCATATAAAGTCAAAATTGAGAAGACAGCAACAGACAGTAAGTGCCGCCTATGCAAAGAAGCTGAAGAAACAGTGGACCACCTGATAAGCTGTTGTAAGAAGATCGCACAGACTGACTACAAGCAGCGGCATGACAAAGTAGCAACAATGGTGCATTGGAAGATCTGCAAAAAATATCATTTGTCTGTAAGCAAAAACTGGTGGGATCATAAAATAGAGAAAGTCATAGAAAATGACAAAATTAAACTGCTCTGGGATTTCAGAATTCAAACAGACAAGCACTTGCAACATAACACTCCAGACTTAACAATTGTCGATAAGAAAGACAAAAAAGTCTGGATAGTGGACGTGGCAGTGCCTGGAGATAGCAGAATAGAAGAGAAAGAACTGGAGAAGATAACAACATACAAAGACCTACAAATAGAAATAGAAAGACTGTGGCAAAAGCAAGCAAGGGTAGTACCAATAGTCATAGGCTCCTTGGGTGCAATCCCAAAACAACTGGAGCACCACTTGAACACAATTGGCATTGACAAATTCGCTAGTAGTCAATTGCAAAAGGCGGCCTTATTAGGAACTGCTTCCATCCTGCGACGATACCTGTAATAACATCAAACATCCACATCTGCCTATCCCAGGTCCTGGGTAAGGACTCGATAGGTAGACAAAATGCCAAATCCAGTCTGAACATCTGGCTGACTGTGCGATGATTGATAATAATAATAGTTGGAAGGGACCTTGGAGGTCATCTAGTCCAACCTCCTGCTCAGGCAGGGAATGAAATTTAACAGAAATGAAATATCAGATTGCAAGCGAAGAGCCAAACTATCATCTAGACTTACAGGCTGGAGAGTTTTAGGGATGCTTCAAAATTTGGATCTTCCTGTATTCAACCATAAATACAGATTTGTTTTTCCTGGCTGGCTAATGGTGGTTTAACTTTTTTCCACGCTGAGAATGATTAACAGAATAACAGAATTGGAAGGGTCCTTGGAGGCCATTTAGTCCAACCCGCTCTCAAACAGGACACTCCAGACCAACGGCCATCCAGTCTCCTTTAGAATTTTGACCGATGCAGATGAATTTAGTTTGATTACTTGTGCAAGAAGTAACCCAGGGGTGCAAAATGGGAAGAATTTAAGATTTCTCCAAAAAGAAATCTTACGAATTCATCCTTGTGAATTAAGAAAATGGGAGCTTTTTAAACCACTTGAGAAGCTGCTTATCCCCAAACCACCTCGCTGATCTGAAAATAATTCCTCATTTTTTTCAACTTTGCCACTCTGGGGTCTGCAAAGGGAGGAGGGGAGAACTGACGGGGGGGGGGGGGAGATGAGCAGAAATATTATCCAAGGACAGTCCTTTCCAAATTACAGTGCCCGGGAAACGGATAATCTGGCGGTTTCAAATTCAATTATCCCTGGACATAAAGGGACCAGATTTTTCAGGGTGTTGATTAAAACTCTCCTTGTTCCGGCAAATGAAAGTCTCTCTGGTTTATCCCCTTATTTTCTCTGCTCGGTCTTCAAAGGGAGGGCTGGGCTGGAAATGGTGGGGCAGGCAGGGTCCCTGGGAAGTCAATTGCCCTTCCATTGTTATTCAGGGGAGATTCACAGCTGGAGGTTCAAAGTGCAGGGGTAGATAGGTGTGCCTGAAAGCAGGGTGGGGAGGGGGAGTCATAATCCAGGATGAGCAGAAAATGAGGACCTGGGCTGGTCCTTCCTAATTAGTGTCTTTGGGAAAAAGAATTAAATTGGGAACCCCTTGGGTTTCTCAATTAGATTGGTAGAAGCAAGGAAGCGGGGGCCAAGAAATTGGAAGTTCTCCCTATGGGGTACCCTCAAGATGGGGCGGGGAGGGGCTTCCCCCTCACTCTCAGCCAGGGAAGGAGGAGAAAAGCCGAAGGGAATGTGGACATAAGGAAGATGCTGAGACTCTGGAAAGGGTGCAGAGAAGAGCAACAAAGATGATTAGGGGACTGGAGGCTAAAACATATGAAGAACAGTTGCAGGAATTGGGGATGTCTAGTTTAATGAAAAGAAGGACTAGGGGAGACCTGATAGCAGCGTTCCAGTATCTCAGGGGCTGCCCCAAAGAAGAGGGAGTCAAACTATTCTCCAAAGCTCCTGAAGGCAGGACAAGAAGCAACGGATGGAAACTAACCAAGGAGAGAAGCAACCTAGAACTAAGGAGAAACTTTCTGACAGTGAGGACAATTAACCAGTGGAACAGCTTGCCACCAGAAGTTGTGGGTGCTCCATCACTGGAGGTTTTTAAGAAGAGACTGGACAGCCCGTTGTCTGAGATGGTATAGGGTCTCCTACCTGAGCAGGGGGCTGGACTAGATGACCTCCAAAGTTATTCTGTTAATCTGCTCATGTGACTGAACAGCTTTTGGTTAAAAGCATTGCACGGACATTGAGACAGGCAGAACACAAAAATTTTCCTTTTTGGATATTTAGGTATCATTTCTAGGCAGGGGAAGAGATTCAGAAGCTCACCAAGTGTGGGCAACCCTGTGTCATGCATAACTTTGGGGGACACCCACACACATATCACAAAAAATGCACATTTTAAGGTAGATGGAAGCATGGAAGGTACCAGGTTTTAGCTGTCTTTCCTCAACTTCTGTTCTTTTCAGAGTTGAAGAAAAGTGTGAAATATTTCTCTCCCCCCCCAAAAAAATGATTGGAGTCTGATCTCGTTGCACAGCAACAGTTTGTTGTAGATCTCTCTCCATTGCTTTCTTTCTTCCCCTCCCTCAAATTTCCAATCCGCTGTCATCAAAAGCCAATGCTGACCTGCAGAACTTAAGCATGGTGTCAGAAGACATTCGACATTTCGTTTTATTAATAAAGGGATATTGCAGCAAAAGAGTTCAGTTTCAATTGGCAACACGTGTACTGTTTCTTGAAAAAGAAAAAAGGGAGGGAGGGAAGAGAAAGAAAGAAAGAAAGAAAGGGAAGGAAAGAAAGAGGAAGGAAAAGAAAGAAAGAAAGAAAGAAAGAAAGAAAGAAAGAAAGAAAGAAAGAAAGAAAGGAAAGGTAGACAGGAAGGCAGAAAAGAGAGAGAGAGATAGATAGATAGATAGATAGATAGATAGATAGATAGATAGATAGATAGATAAAAAAGGCAGGCAGAAAGGATAGATAGATAGATAGATAGATAGATAGATAGATAGATAGATAGATAGATAGATAGATGAAAAAAGAAAAAGAAAGGAAAGAAAGAAAAAGAAAAGGCAGGCAGAAAAGAAAGATAGGTAGATGAAAAAAGAAAAAGAAAGGAAAGAGAAAGAAAGAAAAAGAAAAGGCAGGCAGAAAGGAAAGGTAGGTAGGTAGATAGATAGATAGATAGATAGATAGATAGATAGATAGATAGATAGATAGATAGATAGAGAAGATGGATGGATGGATAGATAGATAGATAGATAGATAGATAGATAGATAGATAGATAGATAGATAGATGGATAGATAGATGGATAGATGAAAGAAAAAGAAAGAAAGAGAGAACACTGAGCAAAGAATCAGGAGAGAGGTTTCCTGGCACTGGTGCTCATAAGTACCAGAAACAAATTTTAAGAACATTCTCCAGAAGGACGGGGTTTGTTTGTATGCAAAACAGGACGTTTTGGGCTAAATCTCTGTTAGAGAGAGGATTTGGATGAGTTTGTTTTCAAGACAGTAATTTACAGGAAAGAGAAAGGAAAATCAATCTTGTCCTGGCTCTGTTGATTTGTGCAGCAGCTTAAAGTGACCTCTCATGATTCTAGTCCCTAATGGGAAAGGTCCTTCTTAAAATACACCTGAAAAATGTATTAACTTGTCTTCTTTTTTCTTTCCCTTTCCTAAACATTTGCTGTTTAGGAAAGATGAAAGCGTCTCTAGCCTAAAATGGGGGACCAGGGTTGTCCTCTGAAGACACAAGAGAGTGAAGGGTATAATAAGACAGTGATGGAGCAGAGAAGGTGCAGGCAAAAAATGCTTTTGTGCAGGTTTTTTGATCTCCCTGAATTTCCCGAAAGAATTAATTTCATTTCCCACAGCGAAGGAATGAAAGCCCCCCCCCCTCAAAAAAATCCCTAAAATAAAATAAAACTGAGAACTGAGTTCAGGTGAATAAAATTTAAAAGAGAAATAAAGCCTTGATATTTAAATTGGTGGGGGAAATTCCTCTATAACCAGAAAAAGAGCCTATTTTAATCTAATAAAACGCATTCGTGTGGACTACAAAAAGTTCTTGGAAAACGTGTTTTTAATATACCTGCGAGGATCCAAATCTGGGTGTTTTTTTTTTAAATTTATTTGGTTAGTGCACTGCCATAAAATAACTGCCTTTGTCTTTATCTTCCTCCTTTTTTTCAGATGAAACACCCAGAGGTGGGAAAATGTGCCGCTGGGAAAGATGGGAATTGTAGTCCAGCTTGCCTAGAGAGCACCACAGAGGACAAGGGTGAAGAGGAAAGCCGATACATGCTGGCACGTTAGCACTACCCCTGGCCGGAGGGTGGTATTACAGTTGTCCACTTCAGAGGAATCCTGTGGCACTCCAGCTATCACTCAACATCCCTGTAAAGTGCAAGGTTATTGTGCAAATCCTTAAAAGAGACAGCCACCTGAGCTGAGTTCAAATTACAGATAGTCCTTAACTTAGGACCACGATTGGGAACCAATTGTTAAGTGGGTCATCCTATGACTGCAGACAATTTTACCGCCTTTATGGCCAAGGACGGTAAGAGAATCACGTGGTCCTTAAGAAAACCCCATCCTCCATTGCATGCTTGCTGACTCTGGGATACGACAACAAATACAGCAAATTGCAATCCAGTGACCGCAGGGATGCTGTGACAGTTGTAAGTACGAGGACCCATCGTAAGTTCTCCTTTCAGTTCCATTGTAAGTCCAAACAATTGCTAACTAATTGGTCGTAAGCCGAGGGCTTCTTGTAGTCAACACGGAGCACCAGAAATGTTTCTGTCAAGCGCGCCATATTTGAAGGAAGACTTTTTTGGGTTACCCCTATCAATGGGGTGGCCACTGTTTTGGGGCACCCCATCACTGCCACTGGGGTCCCCGATTGCAGGACAGGTTCCAGTTTGTAGAAGACACCCCAGGTGAGCCTTTAAAGGAGATGGTAGAAGTTGGTTGATGGGTAGAAGGTGAGACTCATGTCAAGAGACCATCAGATCTGAGATGACTTAAGACAGTTTTGGGTGCAGTGTTGGGAAAAAGAGCACCCCAACTTCCCTGTCCGGAGAAGACTTAATGGGGACCTTCCATGTCTTGAAGCTTCCAACCTTCGCTCGGTCTATTTGGCCAACATCCAAGATGGAGGGTGCTGAGACGATGCTGAGAACCCATCTCTACTCCACCTGTTGTCAAAGGAAGCCACGGGAAGGATGTCCTCTTTCCACCCAGGTGAGCCAAAAACCTAGAGGACATCTCCTAGAGGTTGGTAGGGGTGGGATTTCATCTGTGGTTCTCCTAGAAATGAACAGGTGAGGAAACCATGGAAACAAGGGGAAGGAGGTCACCTTAAAGGGTCTTCCTACCTACCAAAAAAGTAAAAGCTTTGGAGCCACCCATGGCTGATCTTCTAGAGAAGGGAAACTCCTCTGGTTCTGCTGAGCCTCTGAGGATGCTCCTCTGCATCCCTAAGAAATCTACAACATCTCCCATGCTCCCCTCCTCTCCCTTCCCCGATTTAATTGGTTTGATGAAAAGAAAAAAAGATCCTTAGCTCAAAGGTTTGAAGATATGAATTTTCATCCCTCGCAAACCTGGAAGACTTTGTGCAAGCAGCCTCCACATTCTTTAACCCAACTGTCTTGACATCCTAGGGCAGTGGTTCTCAACCTTTTTAATGCCGCGACCCCCAACCAGTCGTAAGTCGAGGACTACTCAACTGGTGCAGCACCGTTTGCAGAAGGGGACTTTTGGCGGGCTCAGCAGGGCAGAGACAGCCTGGACAATTCCTATTGGCTTTGGAAAGCCAATAGAATTAGACTCTATTCAAGAGAGTCTATTCTATTGGCTTTCCAAAGCCAATAAAATAAAAGGGAGTAGCACAGCCAAGGAAAAGGGGAAAAAATGGCAGACTGCGTTGTTTGGCGACCCCCGTGAAATGGTCGTTCGACCCCAAATGGGGTCCCGACCCACAGGTTGAGAACCACTGTTCTGGGGGAAATGAAATCAGGTTTCCAACAGAAGTGGGTTTGTTGCTTTGACTAGTTTCCAACGGGAGAGGACTGTGTTGTGGTGCAGAAGAAGAAGACCTGTCCTCAATGCGTGTCTTTCATCCCATCCATACTTGGAGGACTCTTGAAATTGGTTGAGTTGGGCAAACTCAACTTCTGAGAGACGTTTGCATGATTCGTTTGACGGTGTGAACCCAGAAGTGGAAGGGCTGATGTAGGCTCTCGGATAAAATTCATTGCGTGAAGGCAAGCCCCCCCCCTTCACTTAAGTGAGCCCCCTCCCCCCAAGGAGATGGGTTGGAGCTGAAGATACCATCTTCCAGTTGACGTTCTCCAACTTTGCAAACTTCAGGTAAATAGGCACAAGATTGCAGTGGTGGGCTTCTCACTGTTTAAACTTAGAAGAAGGGGGGGGGAGAAAGAAACTCGGGCCCCTCCAGACCCCTGCCTCCTCTGGGGGGGAGGGGTTTGGCCCTTTTGAAGCACCCCAGATCTTTAGAAGGTTGCACCCCCTCCGCACCCCCTCCTCACTTTTTCCCACCTCCTCAATTCTGGAAAGGAGAGGAAATTGAGGAGCATCCCAGCAGCCCTAGCACACACACCCCCCACACACAAACACTCACCTTCGGTGAAATCCTGAGACCCCCACCCAGCTCTAAAGACTCCCCCCTCCCCTTTCCATTCTTTAACCGATTCTCCCAAATGGTGTCATAACAATATAGGGTCTGGATAGGCGGCTGTTTTTTCTCTCTCTCTCTTGCAGGTAGAAAAATGTGTGGCTCGGTCAGACTTGGGGAGGGCAAGGGGGGGGCTGATCTTGTACGTTGGGTTGTTTGAAAGGTGGGTTGTGCAGTTGTGCGTGCCAGGAATCCCCTTGTGTTGTGTGCAGCGTGTTGAGTCTCCTGCAACGCAGCTATCCAAAAATCGGATGTATTGTCTTGAGGCTTGCTTTTACTGCAGGGGGAATTTGTGTCTTACGGAGGTGTGGGTGGGGTTGCGACTGCAGCTCCCATCCTCCTGCTCAACCCGGGCAGCAGGGGCTGATGGGAAAGGGAGTGGGGTGCAGAGGGCAGAAGCTCAGCCCTTCTTTTCTATGGAGAAAGAATCTTGAGTTCCAATCCAATTTCTGGAAAATGGGACGTGGGGGGGGAAAACGATTCTTGCTGGGACCCGCAGCAGCTGGTGGGGGCAAGTGTTGCTGTGCTTTTCAAGAATCAAGTCTGGGCTATGCGGGCTGGGGAACATGGGGCCGAGGGTCGTCCGCAAAGCGGAAAAGCTGCCAGACCCGTGGGGGGGGGTCTCTTTTGCTGCCCCCATCTTCCTCCCTTGCTCTGCTCACCTTTCGTTCCTGCCTTAAAAGCCTCTAGTCCTCTTCCAAATATATTTGCCAGGGAGGGAGGGAGGGTCGGAATCACCACCCACCCACCCACCCTGGTTTTCGTAGGAAGGCATCACATTTTTGAGGCGGTGGGCGCCACGTTTGGAAACCTGTAGCAGGCAAGGCAAAAGGCGGCGGTTTTTTAAAAAAAACAACACATTTTTTTTAAAAAAATCCTCCTTCAGCCTCTTCTCCGCCGCTCTCCCAAGGCCGTTTTGGATTTTTTTTGGGGGGGGGGGGAGATCCATCCTGGGAATTGTCCGGGCCAAGAGGGGCCACCGAGGACCCCCATTGGGCTTCTTTCGTTGCCTCTCCCCCCATCACCAAGCGGTCAGGGTCAGGTTGAAACGGAGGGGTCGGGGGCTCGGTGGGGTGGGGGGGCGAGCGTCCAGAAAGGCTGAGCCCCGCTTCTCCCCCCCCTCCCCCGGAGTTCTGCGCTGCGCTGGATGGGCGCGAGCGGGGCTAGGCGGGGGGCTCCGGGGATCGGTCGGTGAGACTTCGGGAAAGCGCCCGCGGGCAGCCCCCCCCTCCCCGACCGCTCCCCAGTTGCCTCTGGTCCTCTTCCTGTGGGGAGGAAGGGGTCTTGCCCGACCAGGAGGAGACTGCGGGGAGACGCCCCCCCCTCGTGGAACCGAGCCCTTAGGGGTCCCGCCGTCCTAGGCCGTGGGGCTTCCCTGGGGAAGGGAACCTGTCGCCGCAGGTGGGCTTTAATCAGCCAGACACCCCGCCGCCCCCCAAAGCCCCAACGACCCCTAAGGCTGCGCGCCCCCCCTCCCCCCACCCCTCGGAGGCGTCCGGTTGCAGACCCCATCCTCCCCGGCTGACCGTTGAGCTGCGGACGATGGGGACACCCTCCTGGGTGGAGGACAAGGCAGCGCTGCGCCTCGGCCTCTTCCCGGTGGCCCCCTGAGCTTTGAGGGAGGGGCAGGGGGCTTGTGGTGGTGGGGGGGGGAAAGGCGCCCCTCAACTTCGCTAGGAGAAGCTCGGGGCGGCTGCGGGGATAACGGGGAGACCCCCGCCGGGTCTCCAGGCGAGATCGCAGAGGGAGGCGCAAACGGGGGGGGGCGCGGGGGGGTGACCCTCCTAGCCTGCCCCCTCCCCCAGCGGCCTCCTCGCTGCCCTCTCCCTGCCTTTCAGCTCAGGAATAAAAAGGAGGCGGGGGGGGGGAAAGGAGAGGCAGACTCCTTCACGCCCAGCCTGGCCGAAAGTTGCCCGGCGTTGCTCCTCTTCCGACCACGCTCTTTCCAGCAGCCCCCCCCTCCCACCCCACCCCACCCGCCTCCCGCCCCCAAAGTAGCACAAAATCAAAGGGAGCCGAGCCGGGGAGCCCTTTCGGGAGAGAGAGTGGCGGTGGCAGCGGCGTGGGCGCCCCCTTCTCTGCCCGGGTGCGCGCCCGGTGCCAGCTGCTGCATCGGGGCGCCTCCTCTCTCTCTCTCCCCCCCCCGTTAAGGAAAGCCGCCCGTCCGCCCGTGCTGGCGCTGCCCCCCGAGAGGCTCGGGGAGGGTCGCTGCGCCCCCAGCCTCGCCGCCCGCCCGGCCTCGCCTCGCCGCCTCGAGGGGGGCTAAGACTCCGGCGCTGCCTTCGCCTCTTCCTCCTCGTCCTCCTCCTCCTCCTCTCCGCAGCAGCCTTGGACTGGAGCATGGCCGCCCTGCCCGGGACCGTCCCGAGGATGATGCGCCCGGCGCCCGGGCAGAACTACCCCCGCACCGGATTCCCCCTGGAAGGTACGTGGCGGAGAAGCCCCAAACGCGCGCCCGGGAAAGCACCGAGCCTCCGGAGAAGGGAACGGCCGGCGCTCCCTTCCCAAGTTTTGGCCTCCGCGCCCGGCCGCTCGCCCCGAAAAAGGCCGCTTTTGCCTTCTCCCCTTCGGCCAGGGAGGGGCGCCGCGTCCTTTGCCCCCACCTTCCTTCCCTTGTCCCGGGGAAGAAAAAGTCGGATTTGCAAGAAACAAACGGGAAAAAAAACCTCCCCCCAAAAAGTTTAGCGCGCCCTTCGGAATTCCCAGCGGGCGCTGGAGAAGATGGAAGAAGCAGCGGCGGCGGCAGCCGCGGGAAAGCCGGGGACGCCGCTCCGGGAAGAGTCGGTGGGCTAATTTTCGGCCAGCCTGGGCGGGGAGAACGGGGTCTTTCCAGCCGGGGTCTGGAGGAGGGCGAAGGGGGCGGCTTTGGGCTCTGGACCCCCTCCCAAAGCACGCTTTCCTGCCCATAAAATACGCGCGGAGCCCCTGTGTAAATCCCGGAGGTTGAGAACGGAGGAGAGGCGAAAAGTCTCGTTTCTGCTGGGGGGGGTGTTTTTTTGGGGGGGATGGACGGGCAGAAGAATTCGGTTGCTGCTCATCTGCTCTCAACCCAATCGGACGAACCTTTCCACGATCGTGTTTATTAAGAATTATTTGCATTGTTGTTTCCATTACTGGAGAACGGCGCGTGGGGGGGGGGCTTTCCAAAACTCTGCCATTTTTCCTCGCTCGGTTTTTGGGGGTTGTTTTTTTTCCCCTCCTCTCTTCCCCTTTCGCCCGAAAAAAAAAGATCTGGAAAGAGGGAATATTCATTTCTCGGAAGGCGACTTTCCTGTCCTCAACCCCCCCCCCCGCGACCGTTTCTTGGCCGCTCCTCCGCAGGCGCCGGCTGCGGAATTAAAACAAACGCGGGGTCCCTTTCTGCATTTATTAAAGCAAATTGGGTGCCTGGGAAGCGTGCTCAAGTGGAGCCGGGAAAGGGGGCGGAAGGAGGGGAGCCCACGCCGGCTGCGAAAACACACACGCGGCGGGGATTGGCGTGGAGTGGCTCTTCTGTGTAGCGAATGGAAGGGAAACAGTCCGGGAAAAAAAGAGGGGATCAAAGGATTACTAAAATATTTGTATACCGTGATGGAGAATAATGACCGCGCGTCGCCGGCAGCGGCTGATGATCCACTCGAGGCTTAGCCGTGGCTAATGAGGTAGCACTCCGAGTGACTTCGAATTAGTGGCGCGTGATTCTTGGTTAAACAGCCAGGCGAGGTCTGGAACCGACTTAGTGTGCAGGGAACCACGTCGAAGGGGCAGAGGGACAAACAAACAAACACGCGCGCGCACACACAACTTGCACACAAATCGCCACTTTGATTACGCGGCTGGATCTGGACCAGCCGCGCGGAGAAAATGGCAAGGAATTTTGCGCGAAGCCCGTGGCGCGGAAGCCTCCTGATTAATAGGGTGGACTTCATCTCTCAGAGGGGTGAGGAATCGACGCGTCTCCTGGGTGGAAAAACGGGGGCCAATTTAAACTCCGAAAGAGGACAGAAAGAAAAGTTGGGGTGCGCACCCAGTTTTTAAATGGATTTTAATTGTGCGCCGACGGTGTGGCGATCCGTTTTATTTTTATTTTAAAGAAAACGTTAAGAAAGTGAGGCCGTTAGGAAAATCTTGTTTGAAGGTTAAAGGAAATCTTGTTTTAAATCGGAACGGGCTTTGCCAAGCGGCTGACAAAGAAAAGGAGACGCCTTTCCGACTTTTCTATCTGTGCCCGAAGTAGAAAAATTCGGGGAGGTTTTTTTTTTAGGGTGCTGCGTGGGAAGAAGATTCTTTCAAATTTTTAAGGGGGGAAAACTGTGTTTGAGGGATTGAGGGAAGCTTTGTCTTTTGTGTTTAGGATGTCAAACTTCTCCGCTGAAAGCAAACCAGGTGTTAGTAAAACATCAACCAGATGTAAACGCTGGGTGCACAGCTGGAAAAAACACTGAGGAAAACCATTATAAACCTTTACATTTAGGTTAAAAGTGGAGAGGGAGATCCAATCTGGGTGGGTCACCGGGACCAGTGATGGCCGCACACTTTGGATCCTTGGGGACAGCAATAAACCATCCTATGCTCAACCATTTTTCTCAAATGAACCACACTTGGTTGAATTTGTCTCTCACCGGGGATTGACACCAAAATAACTAGGATAGTGGAGGGACTAACGAAAAGGCAGTTTTACACACATCAGTTAAACTAGGTAGTGGAAGTATACGCTCTGGTTTACGTAAGAGTAAGCATCTTGGGCATAACAGCATTCAGCACCCTAGTGAGGCGATATGATCGCACAATCCGCCAGATGTTTAGACTGGATTTAGCATTTTTGTCCACCTACGGAGTCCTTCCCAAGGATTTGGAATATTATTATTACTGTTATTATTACTGTTATTATCACGATAATATCCACGATAGTGCTGAAAAGCTAGTTGTGGCAGAAAGTTTTCACAATTTCTTTTTTTAGTTGGGAAGTGGGCATTTTAATTTTCTCAAAGAGAGGGTAACTTCGTTTCATTGCAGGTTGCGAAACAAACAGGTTATTTTTTATTTTATTTTTATTTTTTTGAAAGGGAAGATCTATTTGCCATGTTTACCTTTCCGCTCTCCATTTAATTATGCCATCCGTTGGAGCCCCGGGAATCTGTCTTTGGGCTTTGCAAAATTTAGCAAATCGCAAATCAAATGGAGGGGGGGGGGAAACCGTCTTGTTTGGCTCCTCTGTGGGTTTGTCCTGTTGTGTGGATTCAAGGACTGGGTCTCTTTCTCTCTCCCTCTCTCTCTGTGCCTGGACTACCTGCATGGTGGATTGGGCCCAGATGCCTAGTTCCGCAAGCGTTTACAATGAGTGGGTCCCTCAGACACTGCGGGGCTGACTTTTTATAGGAGATTTCTCCACCTGGTATTTCCAGAGCTCAGCCTTCACGCCCCAAGTGCCAAACTCTTAAAAGCAGGAATCTGGAAAGGGACAGCATACACAAGAGAGTTGAGGCACAGGAGACCCCCTGGGACGGAGGCAGGGAGGCATCCCCCAACCAAGGCATTAATCAGGGGGCTTTTAATGGCTGCAACTGCGCAGCCCCCCAATTGTCTCTAATCCCCTTCCTACAAATACTGCAGGATTCTGGTTTTTTTGTTTTTCTAAGTTACTGCACCGAGAGAGGAAGGGAGAGGGGGGGCCTGCATCCTCCTAGTAAAACCGGGGCTGGCTGCTGGGGGCTTCCGTTCTGCCCTCCCCAAAAGCTAATGCAAAGTACGCTAGGAAGAATGCAAGAATGCATGGTGCAGGCAGAGACCAGGTGGATGGGAAATGCACTGGTAGAAATTGTGTTGTCTTGTTGTTGACAAACCTTGGCGTTCTGGATATTTAAGCCGCCCTCCTCACTCCAGTGAGGGCGCAGTCCCTTTTTCTTTCTGGACAACCCCTCCAGGAGAAACAGAGAAGGTGGGAGAGGAGGCCCCCTTCAGCTGTCCACCAGGAAGAGCTGACCCCCTAAACATGGGCAGGGGGAAGCAAATGTTGGATACCCCCCAGGAAAGAGGTCTTGCTTCGATCTCCTTCACCAGCTCCGCAACAGGGACCTTCCAAGGTGGTTAGCTGCCATCAGCCAAGAGGCTGTTGTGGTCCTCAGAATGAGACGTCCCTGATGGGGGGGTCTCCAGGGTCTTGACCGCACCTCTCCCCAGTTCTCAGACCACAAGTGGAGCTGCAGAGCCCTCTCCTGTAGAGCAGTTGGAGAAGCAACCCCTCCTTCCGACTTCCTGTGATTCTCAACTGGATGGATGGTTGACGCTGTAGTCCATGGCTAAGAAGGGGCAACCCTTGTTGACCGGAGCTTGCAAACCTTGACCCCTCTTCCTCCTGCCCTTCCCCCCCCCGCAGTCTCAACCCCCCTGGGCCAAGGCCGAGTCAACCAGCTTGGAGGCGTCTTCATCAACGGGCGTCCCCTGCCCAATCACATCCGTCACAAGATTGTGGAGATGGCGCACCATGGCATCAGGCCCTGTGTGATCTCTCGCCAGCTGCGGGTCTCCCACGGCTGCGTCTCCAAGATCCTCTGCCGGTACCAAGAAACGGGATCCATCCGGCCAGGAGCCATCGGGGGCAGCAAGCCCAGGGTGAGTGAGGGAGGGGCTCAGAAGCCCACCAGGAGGGCAGGTGAGGAGACGCCCTCTGGGTTGACATCGATTGGAAGGGGAAGTAAGGGGATGTCAAGAAGGTGGTGATGGCCCCTGGGCTTAGATGATGGAACCGCTTCCTCCCTCCATCCCATCCCTTGCTACCTTTAGCTGCTTTCCTCAAATTTATTCTTGAGTAGACCCCCCCAAAAAAAACCCGATCTGGTCTCTCCCTTGAAGAGGAAAAGCATCTTGGCCTTCTACTCTTTCTGAAGAAATAGAGGGAAGGGTTGGCCTTCTAGGTTGAGATCAGACCAGCTTTGCACTCCCCTGGTAGTTTGTAGAACTTGAATTTAAAAGTGCATTTTTGTCTCCTTCCTTCCTTCCTTCCTTCCTTCCTTCCTTCCTTCCTTCCTTCCTTCCTTCCTTCCTTCTGGAACCCCTCTTGACCCCAAAAGCAGGTTGCGACTCCAGACGTGGAGAAAAAGATTGAAGAATATAAGCGGGAGAATCCTGGCATGTTTAGCTGGGAGATCCGAGACCGGCTACTCAAAGATGGTCACTGTGATAGGACCACTGTCCCCTCAGGTGAGAAGGAAGCCAGACCGCACAGTTAGGCTTTTGAATTCGGAATTTCCTGACCCAGCTCCACAATAGCAAGCATCTTTCAGCTTAAGGAGGAAACCTGTAACTGGACTTCACTCCATTAGCCCAACCTGAGGCCAAAGTCTAAACAAGCCACAAGAACTGGCTTTGCACAATGGAAAGTTCACTTTTTCTACCGGCCCAAGCCATATATTAAATTTTGGGTTCAGCACTGTGCAGACTCAGAATAGTGGATTAATTGAAGATGGAACGAAGTCCTAGCAACTTAGCCAGATGTCATTCTAGGGATTTTCAGAAACCTTCTTTAATCTTCACCAGAATTTGGGCTGGACCATTTCAACATGGGAGGAAACATTTTCCTTTAGCCATAGATTTTCTGGTGAGGTCCACATCCCTGGATCAAACTAAGACCATTCTTAGTTTTGACATGCTAAAAAATGGGCATATGCAACATTCAGACATGACTCTTGACAGCTGAAAAAGTTGACTCTAGAAGCCATTTCAGCTTCTTTGTCATTGAAGAAGGCCTAAGTTGGTTAGGGTGGATATTTTAAATGAAAATCTGAGCCTGAACTTCAGTGCAATATATCAAAATTGCAAGATTTTTTCCCTCATGCTTACAAGTCAAAATTTTAATCATGTCCATTTGATGATGTATTTACAGGAAACCAAAACTCCATTTTAACATTTTAATTTGCTCTCCTGGTAAGAAAAGGAAATAAAAGGAGACCATATAGATATAGATATAGATATAGATATAGATATAGATATAGATGTAGATGTAGATATAGATAGATAACTATTCCAGTTCTCCCTTTATTCTTTGTTGGTAATCTAAAATGTATATGCACACAGTCCAGGTTTGAATCTCAGAAGGGTATGTCTGGCTGAAGAGAGTTAAGAAGCTCGAAATAGCTATTCCAGTTCTCCCTTTATTCTTTGTTGACAATCTAAAATGGATAGATAGATAGATAGATAGATAGATAGATAGATAGATAGATAGATAGATAGATAGATAGATAGATAGATATAGATAGATAGATACATAGATACATAGATAGATACATAGATAGATACATAGACAGACAGACAGACAGACAGACAAACAGACAACTGGCTTAAAATCCAATCTTAATTTGATGCAAATAAACATCACCAACATGTTGTTCAAGATAATTTCCCTTGCAGAAATGTCTGCTGAACGTGTCTCTTTACTATGTAGATATTCCCATTTTTTTTATAATTAGAAAATGGATAACCAGCCTCCCACCCTTAATAAATAGGAAGGAAACCTCATTTGATTAAGAATATATGTGTCCGGTGACGTTTCTGTGCCCATGGCAGAGTTTTCTACCTTCTGCAAAGAATGCTGTCCACAGTAACCAGAACATTAAAAAAAAAAACACACACACACAGTATAATCTTAACTGACAATCAAAATATGAGTCCACCCATTTCAAAGCAACTTTGTGCTCTCCATCCCACAGATGTATTTATTAAGAGGAGGACGGTAAAGGCAGGAAGGTTTTTCTGAGAGATGCTTCAAGCTTTTACAGAAGGAAGTTCTTTTTTAAATTTTCTCTAGGCCTTTAGAACCCGTCTGGGTTTCACCCATTCGTTCGTTTCATGGTTCTGCTTTCTATCCTGGAAATAATCACTTGCAGGCAAGGAAATAAGAGATCCTGCTGTAGCCTGTTGAAAATGTTCACTCTGGAGAGGCTTGGCTGCGATTGTGTGTCTGTTGGTTAGCACGGCAGCTTAGAATATTAATCATCCAAAATAAAATAAATAAAGCCTCTCTTGAGCCTCTTGAAAACAGGAACAGATAATATTGTAATGTCCAAGAAAGCAAGCGCCATGTTTACTCAGAAGGAGTTAGTTTTTAAAAAAACGGCAGGAGATTAAATAGCAGCACGTAAGGGCTGCTGTTTTATTAGAAGCGGGAAGCATTTACAGAGGTGCAGACACATTTAACCCATCACAATTAAATAGATAGCTGCAATATTCAGGCCTGGTGAGTGTCACCGGGTTTGTTTACCCACCCAGGTTTATTTGTGGCTTGTCCAAGTTGTTTGTGTCTGAAGCACCATTTTTTATATATACATGCATGTACGTTGGAAGGATCTGGAGTTGTGTGACTGCAGGGTGACTCTGAGTGGCTTACAAATTCATGGTGCAATTAAGTTTTTCTTTTTACATGACAAAACAGAGAAGTCAAAACATGTTGCGGTTGGTTGCCAACCTCTCTTTGGGAATTCTGACTTCAAGATTTGGCCAAAGGTTCTTTGTAACGCTTAAGTGTTAATGGGTCCCCAAAGGGGCAGGGATGATACTCAGTAAATTCTGTGTTCTGACATTGTCTGTTTCTTTGGGTGTAACTAAACTGACAGCTTACTCAGAGTCTGGTGGCCCCCTTAAAGTTTTCTCTACATTGGTGGAAGCTTCCAAACCAGGAAAAAAACATAGCAGTTCTCCTAAATTAGTTTGTGAGGATATCTCCTCACCTTCCAGACATGGTCACTTTAGGAAATGAATTAAACAATGCATGCTGGTTTGTTTTTTTCAGTATGGAATAGTTTTCAGTCAGCATGCTGGCTGAGAATGATGGGCTTCCGAATAGATGTAAGAAGGTGGCCTTCAGCCAAATGGATTGGTGGGTCCTGCTTTCACAGGACCCAACCCTTGGGTCTAGGAGGTGGCTTCTGGGCAGGAAGCAGAAAGGAACCAATCCATTTAGGCTGAATTTCTTGGTTGGTTTAGACCTTCAGCCAGAGGACAGGCCTGGCCCCACGAGCTGCCAGCCCAGCCCAGCCCCAGATTGGTCAACCCTGTTAATGTTTCTGGTGTAACGGTGCAACGGGCAAACCTGCACCCAGAAGATGCTGGTGACCATCTAAATCTAGATCAAGCCGGTCTGAACTTTTCTCAGTTCCAGGCAGCTGCTTTTTGGGTGGATCTCCTCTGGGTCTCCCTTCCCTTCCAAAGCAGCTTATATTTTGTTCTTCTGTCTTTGACTGTCTGAGGTTTAGTGAGTTCGATTAGCCGTGTGCTCCGAATCAAGTTCGGGAAGAGAGAGGAAGAAGAGGACCAGGAGAAGAAGGATGAGGACCAGGAGAAGAAGGCCAAACACAGCATCGATGGCATTTTGGGGGACAAAGGTAGGCGTTGCTTAAAAAAAAAATCTCTCTTTTTTTTTTACAAAAAGCTTAGAGGTTCTCCCTGCTCCCTCCCTTCCTGAGTAAATGAAATTCACATCGCATTTCCTGCTTGCGATGACTTTCTATGTCTACTGCTCCACTTTCATTCTATTAATTTATTCTCTCCCTTCCCAAATGATCGGTGAAAATTCTATAATTATCCATTCCTGGATATTTTCAAGGTTTTCCTTCCAAAGAAATGTGCACTTTTACCAACTTTTTTTTCCCCCTTGCCTGCTGATTTGGCAATACGGACAACCATTGGTCTGAAATGGTATATGTTTTCCTGCCTGAACAGGGGGTTGGACTAGAGGATCTCCAAGGTGTCCCTTCCGATTCTGTATTCTGTTCTGCTTGCTGTTGGTCTACATTAAATTCAGCACGTGGGACTCTTGAATATCTAGATTTTTACTTTACTGGATTCCCTGAGAGGCTAGCTTTCTGTGATTAGGGAAGAGGCAGTTTTTGTACAAGAAACCAATGCTTGATGCCTTTGTAGTGATGTTGAGATTGTTGTTTTGTTGTGGTACTAAAACAAAAATACATAGCGGTGCTTCCAAGTGTTATTTCATCCTGGTGGCTAATTCAACAGAATCCTTCATTTAAACTGAATAAGAACTGAATCTCCTTTACTGTACAGTTTGAGAAAAAGAGAAATCTGTGTAAGAAATAAACAAGAATTCATATGTTTATTTCAGTTATGCATATGGGTGTGTTTGGTTTCCATTTGGATGTGCAGTTTGAAAAATGTTATATATTAGCCCTTTTTTTTGAGAAAGTAAGTTGTTTAATCTATGAAGATATCTTCAGACAGGTGAAATTCAAGCTAGAATAAAACCTTTTGGGGGGTCTTTTTCTGACACCTTAAGGAATTAGCTAAATACTAACAAAATTGGAACTATGCCAGACTTTTTTTTCAATATTTTAAAGAATGAGCTTTAAGGAGTCAAGATTTTTTTTTCAAAAAAAGTACAGTATATTTAAGACCAACTTACCTCTTTCTCTCTCTGTTTCATATTCCAGACCATCAGGGTTAGTATATTTTCTGGTTAAATAGAGAAAAAAAACCTTCGTAGAAATTAATACATGCTTTATTTTATTTATTTTATAATTTATTTTGCATTGGCTGTTGAGGTGCAGAGATATTAAACACCTGTCTTCACCCACTCTACCTGGGGGCACCCTGATTGTAATAAAGTTCTTAAAACATTTGGGATTTTAGATTTCCCTTCCCAGTTGGAGACCAGACAGCCTACAAGCAGGGGAAGAAAAAAAAAAGGATTTTTAAAACAAATTCTATTTCACAGTTAAAAACCATGTTTGAATTGCTAATTATGAAGAACCAACAAAATTAAATATTTATAATAAATTCTTAAAGTTTTGAATGTGGGAGAGAGAGAGAGAGCACACATCCAAAGATACCTTTTAGACATTAACAAATACACAAAAGGAACGTTGTCATTCTTCATGTGGACTTCTACCTTGGGTTTTTTTTTAAAAAAGCACCCAAACAATAAATTGTAAAAGCATCCAGAAGGCAGCAACAGAAGTAATACAGCATCTACATTTGACAGGATGCGTAGAGGTTGGGAAGCACCATCCCTGAGAATCTGTGAAGTTTTCCAATAAATTCTATTTAAATAGTTTACTTTATTTTTATTTTTTTTTAAAAAAAAAAAATAAGCGAAGGGGAAAGAAGGCTGGGGATACGGAAGGGCTTCTCTCTCTCTCCCTTCCGCCGCAAATTCACCCCGAGAATTACGGATCAAATTGGGAGAGACACAAATAGCCCCCCAGAGGGAGATCTCTTTCCTCTCTGCTTTTCTTTCTTTGTTTTTGAAGCTTGACTGATCTTTAAAGACAAATCTTGAAGGCTGCTAATAAAAAATTAAAGGAGTGTTTAGAGAATCCCGGCGAAGGGGGGGGGAAGGGGCAGGAGGCCTTGTGGCCGAGGCCCACGGAGGCGTGTTGTCCTTGTTGCATCCAAAGGATGGGCTTCAAATGGGGGGGTGGGATGAATTCAGAGGGGGGGGGGTGAATTCTGACTTTTTTTTTTTTTTAAAGTTGAAAGGGAGGCAGGGCAGGCCCAGCTTGGCTGGGAAGCGGAGTCACTACGGATCACTTACTTTTGAGAGCCGCCGCATGTGCCTGACTGGCTGGGTTAAAGAGATCAATTCCGCTGCCTGTTTTTGCTCTCCTCTAAACGGTCCCCAGAAATCTCCCTGACAGGTGACTGATGGAGGGGGGGGGAAACATCAGATTCAATTATTCGCGAATGTCGTTTGGGGGAGAGAGGTGGGGGGAGGAATCCAGGAGACCCCCTGTTCAATTCTTTTTTAGAATGGATTCTGCCTGCATTGGAGGGTGTCCCTCGAATTAGGGGGTCGTCTTGCAGTCGAATGGAGCCACAGACCTCTCTCTCTCTTCTTTCTTTCTTTCTTTCTTTCTTTCTTTCTTTCTTTCTTTCTTTCTTTCTTTCTTTCTTTCATTTTCTTTCTTTCTTTCGTTTGTTCGTTTTCTTTCTTTTTTTCCTTCCTTCCCTTTCTTTCCTTTCTTCCCTCACTCCCTAGCCCCTCTTCCTTCTTCCTTTCTTCCTTCCTTTCTTTCTTTCTTTCTTTCTTTCTTTCTTTCTTTCTTTCTTTCTTTCTTTCTTTTCTTTCTCCTTCCTTCCTTCCTTCCTTCCTTCCTTCCTTCCTTCCTTCCATCTCAAAGGGGAAAAAAATAGCTTTTAAGAAAAAAAATTTGATCTCTTTTATCGCCTTTTTTCTTTTAAACGCACGGTTTCTCTATTTCGTTCCGGGGAGGGGGGCCCGGAGGGGCGAAGGGAGAAGGCGTTCGGCCGGGGCTGCCTTTTCGGGGCGAAGTTCCCTTTCGCTGGGACGCCGCTGGGACCGCCGCAGAAGCGGGGGAGCGAAAGGGATCTTACGAGTCGGCGGGCTTTGCCTTCGCGCCGCCTCTGCCCGCGCCCGGGAGCAGCGCTGAGTTGCGGCGCCCGACCTGGGCCGGCCCTTCCCCGGCAGCCGAGTGCGGGAGCCCCGGGGTGAGCGGGGGGCGTCTCTGCCGCAGCCCCCCGGCCCGGAAGCCGCCGCGCTCTGTCCTGCCGGGTCGGAGCCGCTGCGCCCACGCGCCTCTGCCTCTGCGACCGGCGCTCCGTCCCGGCGCGGCCGTCCGAGCCAGCGCTGCCCGGCGGCTGAAACCCACCCGAGCGGGCCGGGTCGAAAGGATCCCGCCCCCCCCCCGGGGAAGGAGTTGCCCACCGGCCCGCCAGACGTTTTGTGCGCTCGAGTTGCGCCTGGTCGGAAAGCGAGACGCATCTCGTTTTCCGACGATTTAATTTACAGTCTCTCCGGCCCCATCCGGCCGCGCGGGGAACCTCGAGGTCCGGTGCTGGGGCAACCGAGACCCCCCTTCCTCCTCTTCCTCCTCCTCCTTCTCTTCCTCCTCCTGTACTTCCTCTTCTTCTTCATCCTCTTCCTCTTTCTCTTCCTCTTCTTCCTCCTCTTCCGCTTCTTCCTCTTTCTCTTCCTCTTCTTCTTCCTCCTCCTGTTCCTCCTCTTCTTCCTCCTCTTTCCCTTCCTTCTCTTCCTCTTCTTCTTCTTCCTCCTCCTGTTCCTCCTCCTCTTCCTCCTCTTCCTCCTTCTCTTCCTCTTCTTCCTCCTTCTCTTCCTCTTCTTCCTCTTCTTCTTCCTCCTCTTGTTCCTCCTCTTCTTCCTCCTTCTCTTCCTCTCTCTTTCTCTTCTCTTCCTCTTCTTCATCTTCCTCCTCTTCGGCCTCGGGGTCTCCTCTTCGCCCCTTCCCCTCCGCCGCCGCCGAGTTGTTGAACTTCGGGGCGAGGGGCGGCCGGCGGGCCGGGCGGCGGGGGCGTCTGTTTGGGCAGCGGGAGGCCGGGCGGGCCCGAGGCTTCTCCTTCCTCCCTCCCCCCCCCGTGCAGCGGGGTCGCGGGGGGGGGGCGCGCTCTTTTTCTCATTCAAAGGCTCGCGCGGAGCAAAGTCGGCGAACAAAAGCCGGGGGAAGAAAGGGAAGTAAATTATTCCGCGCCCCCCGCCGGCCGCCGTTTTGTCCGAGGGCCGCGCCGTCTGTTGGGGGGCGGGAGGGGGGGGCGCTTCCCCTTCCCCCCCCGCCCGGGGGCCGCAAAGGGACGGCCCGGCAAAGGCGCCTTTGTGCCCGGCTCTCTCTCCCCGCCGGCCGACGGAATCCGGGCCGGGCTGGGTTTCGGGCGGGGGGGGGGTGCTGCACGCCCCGAGTCACCCCCGAGCCGACTTTGGGGTGGGGGGTGGGCTTCGGAAAGGGCCCCGATTCCCCTCGCTCCGCTCTCCCGGAGGCTCCGCGCCGACTCCCGGTTTGCGGGAAAAGTGGAAGGAGGCGAATGATGATATTACATTTTATATATTAATATTATATGAAGTAATGCCCCCCCCACCGCTATCAGCCCCCCCGCCCCCTACCCCCGGTTTCAGAATCTGCCTGGTCTTCTGGAGACAAGGGGGCTTTTCCCGAGCACCCCCCGGATCCTCTCCAGCCGCCCCAGGAATCCACTGCGGGCTTCGTCCAGCTGGATGGGGGGGGGGGAGCCGGGAGGGCAACGGGGAGGGGGGGATGGAGGGGGGGGGCATCATCCCGAAGAAAGCCAGCCGGGGAGCCTTCTGGCGAGTAAACCCCTTTCCCGCCAGTGTCCTCCGTCCTGCTGGGGCTCCTCCAGCGAAGGTTTTTTGGGGGGTTTTCCCACCTGCCTTGGAGACCATCCTGGTCTTCCTTCGTCCTTGGAGAAATATAATAGAGATTGTCTGCCGAGTTTTCAGTCCATATTTTCAGATTTAATTCCTTCTCGTCCCCCTCCCTTTTCTCTCTTCTCTTCCTCTCTCTTTCACTTTCTCTCTCCCTTTCTCCTTCTCCCTTTCTCTTTCTCTCGCTCGTTCCCTTTCTCTTTCTTTTCCTCTCTCTCTTTCCCTTTTCTCTCTCTC